AAGCAGGACACATCTGGTGACACAGACCTGCAATCCCAGCAGCACCTGGGATATAGAGGCTCAGGACTTAAGACCCTTGTCTATCAAAACAAAAAATTCATTATCCTTTGAGAAAATACTGAGCAAGGCATGGCAGCATGTATTTATAATCCCAGCACCTGGGAAACAGAAGGATCAAGAATTCAAGGCCAGCCTGACTATGAAACCCTGTTTCAAAAAGCAAAAAATAAGTTAGTCCCAGCATTTGGGAGGCAGAAGCAGGCAGATCTCTGAGGTCCAGGACAGCTAGAGCTATTACAGAACATGATCTCCCCCCTCCCCCCCCCCAAAAAAAAAAGAAAAAAAAAAAAGCCTTTAATCGGGTGTTGGTGGTGCACACTTTAATCCCAGTGCTCAGGAGGCGGACAGAGCCAGCCTGGTCTACAGAGTGAGTTCCAGGACAGGCTCCAAAGCAATACAGAGAAACCCTGGGGAGGAGGAGGTAGGGGGAGATCCCTCTTTAAATTAACGAGGAGGTCAATTATACCTTTCTTTATCATTTTATGTTGGAAAAGTACATTCCTCTAAACTATACTGTTTTCAAAGACCTTGAATCAAGAAATTCATACTAATTATTCAATCATTCACAGTATCATATAATCTCAAATATACTAGTATATGTATATACAATCAGTCCATCAGAATCTTTGAAAAAAACAAATGAATTACCTTTAGTGTGATATACAATAGCAGCCCTCAGGTCAAAAGAACCCCAGCTATCATTCCTTTCTAGGCCTCTCTGGTATCTCTGTTCTTTGGCGGAGCCTAACAAAGTGTTCGTAGGAGAGGCCAGAGGATTTTGATTTTCTATTTCGTAGTCCTTTGAGAGAAACACTAAAGCACCTTGACTACTGGTGTCTGCTTTTTGCAGGTCACCTATATGACTGGGTTCCAAGGATAAGGCTCCACTCTCAGTAGTCCCAGGTTTTAGAATGTTACCCAGAACTTGAGGACTAGTCCGTTTTTCCAGCTCATAAGCCTTGGGAAACACAGGATGCTCAGTTCCTGAGGGAATTATTTCAGCACCCTGTGAAACCAAAGTGGCAGGATATTCTCCTTGAAATGTCACTTCCATCACTTTAAGATCTGATGACTTTCCAGTAACAGTCTCTGGGCCAGCACTGGGCTCATTTATAAATGATAAACCCCATTGATTTTGGAAGATATCCCCCAGGTTTTGCTGATCTGTCTGAGAGGGCAGATCTACTTGTGCGGTGCTTAACAGCACCGTTTGCATATTTGAAGGGTAGATAAAAAGGCTAGACTTAATTTGCTCAACAGCTGCTGAAGTCAGACTTATGTCCTGAAGAACTGAATCAGTCCCAGTAGAGATGGGTGTTAAAGTACTAGCAGCAGTAGTTAGCAGTGGCTGACCCCCTGATGGATACACATTTCCATCAGTTCCTGCTAAAACAGGCCCATTAGAAAAGTTGGCAGAAGTAACAGATTTCAGAGCTGACATGGGGACCTGGGATAATCGACTTGAAGATTGGGTCTGAGTTTCCCCAGTAGATAGTGAAGAGGATGACGATGAGGATGGTGACACAGAAGAGTTCTGTACAGTTTTGTTGAGGTTTTCCTTAACTTTGCTTGCATAACTTATTTTAGGAACTATTTTAGCACTGCTATTGTCCACTGGAAAAACTGGGGGTGGTTTAAACAAGGTCCATGAGTCCTCTTTGGAGGCAGCAGCTGAGGCATGCTTTCCTTTAGGCCGATCATCAAACTTTTTGCTGCTCAAACCAGGTTTAATATCTGAGCTTTTACGAAGTGTGTCTCCCACAGCAGGTTTTCCACGACTTGTTCCTCCAGGCCCAGTCTCATACTTCCAAATAGGCTTCGAACCATCTGCTCGAGTTCCTTTTTGTTCACTATAGTCAGGCTTTAAACTTTCAAGTCCCTGTTTTAATGCTGGGACACCAGTCTCTTGCATTATTTTGTCCTGCACTAAATTAAGGTTTTCACAACCCTTGGCACTATTGCGCCTAGCTTTCCTTTTTTTAGGAGTAGTATATCCACTCTCAGATCCGCTACCATCATTATCTGCTCCTTTGCCCATATAACCATTAGTAATATAGGCTGAATTATTTGTTATAACACCATTTGGAATTGCTACGTCGTTCTTATCTATCGCCTGGTTCTCTCCAGATTTGTTTTCGTAAGACTTCCCATTCTTTTTGTCCATACTGTTTTTCTGAATAAAATTCTTGGTTTTAATTCCTGCTTTTCCAAAGGTGCTGGTCTTTACAGTCTGCTTCAGGCTAGGGTCTACAACTTGCTGGTTGCCATTGAGGACCCTAGAAATAGGGTTAGTAGCTTCATCAGAACTGAGGCTCTTTAAAGATATTTCTCCAGCATTACCATTTATTTCACCATAGCCTACAGAAGGAAAAGAAAAACAAAACAAAACACATTTAAATCACATTAGTACTGAAGACTAGAAATTGCTTATTAAATACCAGATACTATGCTGTAGGGTTTGTTACCTCATAACACCATGAAAAGAAAATTGTCAGCACCATATCACAGATTATGAATTCATTGGTAGGCAGAGTTAGGACATAATTCACATCAGGTCCATCTACTGGGCCACTAGCCAGAATTAACTAGAAAGAACAGGACCTCTCAAGCAGCATGCCATAATACTCCTTTAGATTATCTAAACAGAATAAACCTAGACATTATGGCCATGAGGCTATTATAAAAATTTCCTCACAATTAATTAAATGCAATACAATCCAGGCGGGTATAGTACCTGCCTGCAATTCCAGCACACTGAAAACTAAGGCAAGATGATTGCATGTTTGAAACCACCTTGTGCTACAGGGTAGAACCTTGTATCAAAACAAACACAATTACAACCAGTGCTACCCTCTGGGCAAAATCCCAAGTGTTCAGACACAGAAAAATGTAAAAGAAAAGAAATTATGTGGCCTTTGCCTAGCATGTATGACCACTGAATTCAAAATCTAGTACTAACCCCCACCCCACCAAAAAGGGGTGAAAAATTAAAATCTTTGGCTTGCTTTTTTTTTTTTTTTTTTTTGAGAAAGGGTTTCTCTGTGACTTTGGAGGCTGTCCTAGAACTAGCTCTTGTAGACCAGGCTGGTCTCAAACTCACAGAGATCCACCTGCCTCTGAAAAATTAAAATCTTACATGGCTAGTTGCCAATGCATCTAACACAGAGAGCTATAATGCCCAGGGACTTTCATATCAGGTCATACCGTAACACATTAAACAAAAAAATATGTACCAATGTTTCTAACCCTTAAAATTTGTTCTTTAAAAAAAAAAAATTGTTCTTATATTTGGGTTAAAAGCCAAGCCCTAGGGAGATAAAGTAACACACAGGCCACAAAGAGACAGAACTAGAAATCTAAACTCTGTCCTGTCTAGAACTCACAGGTTTCTACCCTTATGCAATGCTTGCTCACAATGAAAGAATCCAATTTTTTAAAATTGTCAAGTATCTGAATGTAAAACTTCCCTGTTGATAGTTAAGTTTAAAGATTACAAGTGATCTACTAGGGTCACAACTCCTACTTGCTAGTAAAATGGTAATTAGCCATCAAATGTTTTATGACCTCTAAAGTCCTTTGGGAAATCCTCAATTCTTAATAACTAAAAAAAATGTTTTTTGGTTTTTTGATAAAGGGTTTTTCTGTAGCCCTGGCTATCCTGGAACTCACTCTATACACCAGATTGGCCTTGAACTAAGAGATCTACCTGCCTCTGCCCCCACCCCCTCCAGTGCTGGGATTAAAGAAGTGTGCCATTACCTCCTAGTAGAAGTTAACTTCCTGACCGACATACATGAAATCCAAGCGCAATCCTCAGTTGTTAGAAAAAAAAATTCCAGTGCTAAAGCACTGTTTTTTTAAAAATCTATGATACAAGTCAGACTTCCTGTGTTGCTTAGGGATGAGTAGTTCTAGCAGGTGCTCTACCACTAAATTCTATCTGTTCCCAAATAAAAGTTTTCATGGAGTTGTGGCCATACCTACAATCCTAGCACTGAGAAAACAGAAACAGGGGGATCAGTGAGTTTGAAGCCAGCCTAGATATTCTACATAAATGAATACCAGGCCAGTTGGAACTACATTTTAGGACCCCGACTCAAACACATTTTTTTTCCTCTCACAGAAAGAGTCTAACTATGAAAAGAGACAAGACCACTATGTGGTGTTTTTTTCCTTAAAAATTTCTTAAAAAAAAAAAAAAAAAAAAAAACCGAAGAAAGCTGCTGTGTGGCACACCTTTAGTGGCAGGAGGATCGGAGTTAGAGGCCAGCCTGATCTAGAGAGAGTTCTAGGCCAGAGCTGCACTGAGAAACCCTGTCTCAAAAAACAAATAAGCCAGACAGTGGTTCATCCCGGAAATCCTGTCTCAACAAAAAACAAAAATTGGGGGAAGGGGAGACCCAGATCATCATTAAATTTGCCCTTGTGAAACTCTGGACCAAAGACAAGAACTACCTCACCATTTAATAGCTCAATAGGTTAAGCAATATCTGTATCTTCTGGCTTATTACTCATAATTTTTTGTATTTCAACTAAAGGTGGGCAATGCTACATGCATAATTAAAGTTGATGTTCAAACCAAGATGAATCAAAGCATTCTTTTAAGTAAACCAGAATAATTCTACCTAAGAGCACTACTTGTGATTCAGATACCAGAAATCACTCTTGGAAAATAAAGCTCAGATAGGAAACAGTGGCCCACACTAATTCCAGCTACACTGGAGGGTGAAACACCAGAATTACAACTTAATGGCTGAGTGTTAGATAGCTCCTGCCTAGCACACCCAGGGGCCTAAGGTTCAATCCTCACTTTACAAAACAGGCCACTATAGTTGTTTCAATGTCAAAAATCTTTTTGCATTTAACTACATAATATTTGCCCCCCCACCCGTGTCCTCGGTATGCAAAAAGCATGAAAGGCATTTTTAAAAGCTTAAACATTTAAGAAAAATGTCAAGACTGTAGTTATTCCTGAAAAATTAAAAATCTGTAGCATTTATTTAGGGCTGCCATGCAAACTCAACTTCAAATGGACTCAGTCAAAACTTGAGTCCTGACAAATCTAGCTTTGGATTTGCCACTGCAACCCACTCAACACATTTTGTCTTCTCTTGTGCCCTCTTCTGGATTCAAAAAACTAGTTTCTCAAAGATTTGGGAGTAATGGGTCATAAAAAGCCATTGAAGCAACAGTACTGTGTGACCAAAACATACATGAAAGACAGATCACCCCCAAACCCTCAACAGTTTCCCTCCTTATTCTTCATCCCAACTTAAGACATATTTTGAGGGGTGTCACTTCCAACGGTTCAGGGTCTGCATCACTGTAAATGATGAGTCCTGTGGGGAATACATAAACCTCATAAAACAAATTTAAAATCTAAAAAGTACCATTATTTGACAACCTTAATACTTCCCCACTTTCTGAAAACCAAAATGCAGTGTTACATAATTCCTAAGTTTTCTAGGCTGCTCTAGATCCTTACAATTAAGCACTTAACTTCTACTGCACCTTACAAAAAAAATCTGATATCCGGCATCTGTCTTCAAAGTTACATTGTCTACAGTAAGTTTTTCACCAGTGACTGCTTGAATGCTTAAATGACATGCTGAGTTTAACATTTTTTCTTCCAAGTATTCCCTTCACTACTCTTCAGTTTATAAACTTTTAATCTGCGAATATATAAATTTTGACATTTATTTCTTAAGTATTTCCTCAAGACTTTTACGTTTAACATGTTAAATAAAATTCAGTTTGGGTAACGACATCGGTTTTAAAATGCAGCAAATGTCTTTCACTTTAATATCACCATAAAGTATTGTCCAAGGTAAGATGGTATTGACCCAACCTCACGGACAAGCCATTTCCAGATAATAGGGGACCCAAACTGTCTCTGTTGTCCATCCAAATCAAGTATTTGACTAATCCCTGCAGCCACTACCCATGCCCAGAAGTTTAGGTGCTGTGTGGAAATCAGATGGAACAAGGTTTAAGAGGTTGTTTTCCCTTCTTTTGGTAGGAAAGGCGCTGCTAGAAAGAAAAAAGGCCTAAGTGAAAGCCGCTGAGGCGGAGTCGTGAGCGAACCTGGCAGGAGATGAGATTCCTGTGGCAGAGAAACTCGTGACCCGGGAGCTTGGTTCCCGCTGGGTACCCCACCCGGCCTCAGGCACCGCCTCTACCGAAAATGAGTCCCCCACCTCGCCCCTCCAAGGCCAGCGGAACGCCGTGGCCGCCGCCCGGGCCTCCTTCCCCCTCAAGCTCCTCTTCTAGGCCGGCTCCCCGCCCGGCCGGCCGCCCGCGCCTCCCGCCG